TAATCAATGGGGGATGTTATTTTGAACCCATTGATTGTGGATGTATAGAACGTCATGTGTAACTTTACATATATTGGGGTACATTGTGCCAGCATTCCCCAGTGGTTGTGAATATACAGAGCAAGATAAACATCAATGTTTCAATGGTGTTAGAAAAGTGGATCAAGTGTCTGCCATAGTCGGACTAGACATTGACCATGACTGACCCCCTCATGATGACCTTAGAATGATGTTGGACAACCTATTGCTGTGAGTGAAGCAGTCTTGTACAACAAATGTTTTAAAGCAGCTGCAATTGTGTTATTTCCATCTTTTTCATAGCATGAGAATGCTCGATCAAGACAAACCAAATCATCTGCAGACATTACAGTTGTAAATGTGTCATTCTTGATGAAAGATGAGAAAAAACATCAACAACCTACACAACCCTACACATGTCATGCAAACTAAATATCATGCAAATTTCTGGAATTCTGTTACTTCCTACATGAACTACCCAATCGGACAAGTGATTGAGGAGAAGCGCTGTGGTCACATCTGTCATTCCTGAACTACCCATAACCACCATCAGCTCCTCTTCTGGATGCTCCCTGGAGGTGATTCTCAACATAATCATATTCTCAAGCCTTTGACATTCCTGTCACAGAGTATTTCTATTATTAAAGTCAAGAAATGGCCTCAAAACTGCTGCCATGAAATGACAATCAGGAATCAAATGTTTAATTCACAAATGTTAACCTGAATTCATTATCTGCTTGATTGACAAGTTCAGTAGGGCAGGGTGAGTGTTCATGTCATAATGAACTGCTTTCACATATCTGTAGTATGTTCCCAAGAAATTCCGCAACTGTGCAGTTGGACAGTGACAGTGGTTGCGCCCTGTCATAGCTGACTGGCAGCTATAATGGACTGTCACCCATGCTATGGGCTTGCTAATGAGGCGGAATATGGAGTTACAGGAAAAAGACCCTGTCAGCCACCCCCTCCCTAAATCTGCATTTTATTCGGTCAGTTGCCCCTCATCATGCCATCCTGTCCACCTTGGCATTGATGGACAGCTTGACAAACCCATGCATAATGTATGCATATCACTGTCAGCTGTTAAGCTTTTTCCAATTAAAATCTTTCTCAGCAGTTACTCTTTGAAATTGTGTTTATTCTAGAGGGTGACCTGTTCAATTGAAATGTTTCACAACATTGTCTATTAGTAATTGACTGCTACGTGTTTGAAGTGCAGGTTCAAGAAATTGAATTTGGGCAATTTAAAACTTTTAATTATAGTTTCAGTAAGGAAAATTTCAGGATGTCTTCTTTTGATGGTTCCTCATTTTCAGGGAACTTTGTGTCTTAAGAAATGTTTGATACTGGGGTCAAGTTTTGTTGATAACTCTGCAGTGTTCCAAGAAACATGACATATGCACTGCAAGTGCAGATCGTGGAAACTGCAATACTTTAGGACATCCTTTACAGTTTCTCGGCTAATGGAAGGAGTAGTTTCTGTATCTCTATCAATGAAGCACTGAAAAATTGTTCGATGTTTTCATTTCTTTGAAGACAACTTTTTTGGTGCCCTTGGTGGCCTTTTTGCATTGATCGAGAATACGATAAGAGGTGGCGTGACAGTTAGTGACATCACATGCCCTCACTCTAATCACTGAATGGAGTGTAAATGGGAAATTTCAGAATAATTTTCTTAACTTTGCATCTGTCATCTTTCATTTGTAGAAAAGCCATGATAAAATCACTCTCTCTCATTTTAACAGCTTGTCACGCTTTATCAAGTCTTTTTTCGACAGTGATCTCCTTTTTATTATGAAGATCTTGTCTAAAGAGCATATGTGCAAAGGTATCAAAATTTGGTATTGTAGATCATTGATTTTATATGCTGTTTCTTTATGATCATAACTGTTGATTGATGATGATGCATCGTCATTTGTCATCACAAGGAAGGTGATTAAAGTTTGCTCTCACATGTCACCAGTCTGTATCAGAGATGCCCATAAACTGTCAGAGTAACAAAAACATTGATGAAATTTGGGAAAAACAGCAATGAAATTACACATGTGACACATAAACTTTGAATGTTTTCTTTTCATTTTATGTAATCTGGCTTTCAAATACCTTAAAAGCACTTAACAAATATTATTTGTTTAAAAAGGTTAAACTTGTTTAGCACTAGGGTGTCATTATGAATCAACAGGAGCAGCAGTAATGCATTAATACAATTTATCATGGTGTGTTAACGTTCCAGTACAGGACCAAAAACAGACTGGGCTGAGTTGATGTTTTTAACGCTCACTGAAATTATATACAAATCCCAATCAATTCAAAATCATCAGAGTTAAGTTCAGTGCAGTTTAGTGTTGCTGTGATCAAATTTATAAGATATATGAAAAAGTAATTTGGTTTAAGTGAATGTCTATGTCCAAGATTTTTTTTATATCTTGATGTGGTAAAAGGTTGGTTCTCAACTGTTTAATTAATTTCTGGTTTCTTTTTCAAATAATTCCCTCATTCATGTTCAAGGGACTTCGAATGGGACACTTTTGTGCAATAAGAGAGCAGTATCATCTGTGTAAAACTTTTTCTTTCGCATTTGTGTTATATTAATTACACATTTATTATATGAAGTATTTATCCCATTACATCTAACAGATCACTTCATTGGACAAAATGAAATTTCAATGTATTCTGTGTCCTTAGCACTGCCAGTATTCCCAGATCTAGCACTTCCATACACCATCACATGCAAAAATCATCAACTTCTATTCTATCCATAGGGACTGTCACCATCGGATTTCTGATCTCGCATACCCTTGCAAAAACATTTTCTCCCTAGCTGTATTCTCCAAGGAATGACAGTATCGGTATTTTGCTCTAAACACCCTAGTGTAAAAATCATCAGCCATCTTGTATTCCTACTCCCTGTCAGCACCTAGACCCTTGTTCTAATTTATTATCTTTATCAGTGGTGCTGATCCATTCAATGTTTTCCGAAAATAGTGATTGGTTCGTTAAAAAGTCTCCCTTAAGCATACAGATAATGTTGCATAGTAGCTTCAAAAGATTGCTAATCTTGTCTTTCTTATCTTAATCACTAGAGAGAGGTTATAAGGTCCATAGGACATACTAAGCAAGTATTGAATCCACTTTTGATATGTTATTTTCATGTTTTGAATTAGTTTACAGGACACACTGTAGAGATATGGTTATATTTGTGATGGTGACTGTATTACATATAGAAAAATCTGTGGAACAGTTCGGACATAGTCCTTGATTCCTGACACACTTCAGTTGCATCCATTTCCGCCCTTCTTGAAATAACATCTTCGGTCTTTGATAAGTTTCATGATGATGAGTTATAATCACTGAAAACTTCGGATGCTCTGATACTCAAAAGTTCAAAGGATTATCAAAATACTTTCAATCCATTTATTTTCATGTATGAATATTTACAGAAATGTATACTTTTAGTATGTTAGTGTGATTTTGAAATAACATGAAAACACTATTTAACATTTATGGAATTATTTACATAAGCTGACATTCTGGTTATTTTATATACCTGCTGCAGCTCACCTTAAAGCATTCCTAACAACTAGTCACATACAGTCTGCACCTTGAGAAAGTGCTGTGGGATATGGTATTTGATGAACAACTACATCTGCAGTGGGTTCAGAAATACCTTGCAACATTCTCCTTACCTTGATAATGTAAACCACAAGCATCCTTTCTCTTTATTCCAAGTAAATGGCTGCTTTAGAAACTATCTGCACAGCCCATGTTTACTTTGGTGTCATAAAACTGGTTTGGTTCATTCTTCGTCTTGGTTTATTAGGAATTCTTTGTAGACAGACAGATATGGGTCTTCGGTGAATATCATGCGATGACGTGCAAGACTTGTTCGTGGGTACTTGGAAACTGTTTCACATACAAGCATTGATGGATGTGTAGATGTAATTTACATTCCTCGCGTTTTATCATTTTTGAAGAAATTGGAAGTTGGTGTACTCTGAAATACAACTATTTCACCTTCAGGAATATTGCTGTAATCTTCTGATGTTATACCTATATTCTTTTCTGTGCTCTTTTGGAGGTTGATTACACTGTAGTCAGGTGTATAGTGGATGAGTTTTTAAAGCAAGCAGGTTGTGGGTTAATTTGTATGTGAGCTAGGTCAGTCTTATTATTTTTGTTCACGAACAGCTGCCAACGAAAACATTCCACACTAAAAATAAGATCCATTGAACATGGCTAGGAAGAGCTGTAATTTTGAAGGAATGATTTTAGACTCTGAAGTGGACTTTTATTTTGATTATGTTGAGAATTAAAAAAATGAAAGGTCTGCAACTATCCTGATCTCTTTTTGTGTTTTACCGAATACTCATCAATAATCTGTTTGCGTTTATTGGACAAACTGTTATGTAGTGGAATGCACATTTAGATGATACACCAATCTAGGGAGATTGATGGCTTCCAATCTGATTTTGGGTCAGCTCATCATTACTACTGATTCAGGATAGAATCTGTGATTAACTAAAGATGTCACTCTGTTCTAATGAGGTGATGAAATGATTTTAGAATCTGATTTTTTTTTGGTGATTGTGTTTCTGTGTTGATATATTCATATAGTCTTTTTCATGTCCATGTAACATCAGAAATGTTCTCAGTTTCTGATTTTATCTGTTTTTACATTTGGTACCTGTCATTCAGAAACAATCCACTGAAAAAATGGATGGATTGAAAAAAATCCAAACATAACACAACAAACATATGCATGGTGCTAAGAACAACATGGAAAACCCATGTTCTGATTGCACAGCTATGAATGACAGTTTGACAAAGAAAAATCAAACAATATAAAACTGCAGACATACTCATTGTGCAAGGAACAATATGCAAAACCTATGTTCTAATAGCACAGCTGTCATTGATTGTCCGTGAAAGGGGAACCAATGTTTTCTGTTTCTAATACTGTGTTCTGTATGTTCATCACACAGATGGTATAATAGGTGAGTATGTCTTGTTGTCTTGAGATTGCAGCATCTTGCAATCCCCATCAGCTTGTATTGACACATAGATGAATCCCGCTTTTGTACTTGTCATGAGGTGTTACACAACCCTGCTTTAGTCAGTCATTAACCAGTCAGAATCTCTGTACTATATTGTATCATTTCTTTCATTCTGTTTCATCATTTATTTGCGTTTTTGTGAAAAAGTTTGGAATGCTCATGATTGTTAAACTTTGATGACTTTTTGTTTTCCATTTTGCATGGTCAAGGTTTTTTTGTACTCTTTGCAATAATGTATGATTTTTTGCCGTATTTTAGTGTACTAGTTTATTAAAGTAAAACCTGCAATTATAACAACATAATATCAGAATGTATTGTGCCTGCTAAAATAATAGTGTGAGATACTATTTTTTCCAACCATTGCATCAAAATTCTTTTCCATTGTAATGTTGAGTTTGTTTTAATGTATTTACCAGTGAATTGTGAGAAAACATGTGTACAGAAAATTACTACTTCCAGCTTTATTCATGAGACAAATTGACTCAGTAATCCTAATTACTTACTAAAAATACATTACTTACAAGAAATACAAATGAAATGGAAAATCATCATGTTTGGCCTAGAAATGACAAATTTCACATTTTCATGGGGAAAGATTGTTACTAACGGAAATATAGTCTCAATGAAGTGTAACTTTTACATAGGCCAACCCCTTTCTATGGAGTCTTTTTGCTGGCTCCCAAAATCCAGCTTATCTACAGTCAAAGAGGTACATCATTTCCATTTCAAAGTGCACTTCTTTTGTTGTGACATATCTAAGCAACATGTTGCTTTGATCGATCGTCACCATGCAATCCACTTTGTCAGTTTGCTGAAAAATCTCTTAATTAGATATTATCTATGAGCACATGCTTTTACAACTATTTAAAAAAAGGAACGGCTGGTAATATAAACGTGCGTGCTTGCAATAAGTCATATCTGGAATGTATTGTGGCTAAATAAAGCCATCAGCACTCAGGGGAGAATGTGCATTTGGAAAATCTTGATTAACAAAAAGACTGTATCTATAGTGTTTACATAAACACCTCACTGTGTAAAACATGTGCATTGATAAATTTTGTGAAGTAGCAAGAACAAAATATGTTTGGACTGATTCCTTTGGTCAATTAATAATGACAATATTATGATTAGTGTAATTTGATAAAATGGATGTGATGTCATAACTAACGTGTATCAAGATTGAGATGTTTTGATACATGTTCAAAAAGATGTTGAATTTTTAAAATAGAACCTTTTTTTCTTTTCCAAAGATAAACATTTTTCTGATGGCCACTCATTATGCCAGACCAGTTTAGTTTTTAGTTTTGTAATTTTGGGGGTCTATGTACATAGAAAGAGAAATATCATTATAATGATGATGTCAGTTCACTTAAAGATTTCTTCACTTTTACGAGAATTTAGTGTCACTAACCTGTAAGCCAGAAAAGTAAACTGAGATGACCTTGCACACCCTGACTTCCATAGTGGTTATGAGAACACAGTCACTGTAAGAGGTATGGCCTGGTTGGAAAATGGTTATGATATGGTAGGGATAATATTAGGATTTAAAAAATAGCATATCTAATAAAGTTGTAGCCATCTTTCAACAATATTAACAATACAGCCATCTTCACTATTTAAAGGTTCTGAGTCATAGTTATGGCGCTAAACTCACATGTTAAGAAATGGCCCTGTTGCCAGGTCATTCAGATCTTTACATAGAGTACTCTGTGTAGAGGCAAACTAACTACAGGTCATCTTATACTCATTTCAATCAATGTCAGGAGAAGAACCAAAATTACAGCCTTTGCATCAAGCTTGGAAAAAACCTGCACATTACGCAAAGTACCTTGCTCTCAAATTAAGGCCTGTACATGGTAGCACAGCCATGGAGTTATGTGCGTCACTGGAGCAGCAGTAGAGAAGCTGGGGACAGAATAGTAATGGCACATTTTTCATCATGAACAAGATCTAGTCAGACAATGATTAATTCCTGAATTCTTTATTCATTAAATCAGCTAAAATAACATAGTAGAACTGTCAGAAAAAAAAATAGTAGCAGCCTAAATGAAGTGACAAAATATGTAAATATATATCTCATATGATTATGTTCAAATGAAGGGTCATTTGATCCTATATATATTGGGATGTTAGACATTGATATTGTTTTCCATCTGTATTTGTTTAAACTTTATTCAGAATTGCTAGATGAAACTGTGTAGCCATATCCTCACCACAAAGGCTTTGATTCCTTGTGTACATTCTATATCATAATTTCTCTGAAAGCTCCCTCTATGTCCAATCTTGTTTTTTGCCCAGTACTCTAGACAGCTAGGAGATAACTTTCCTCATAGATTACACCCCTAAACTCACCACTGTAAAGGAGATTTTTTAATCGATGATGTGTACATAGTCCATGCTGCAAAACACTTCACAGATAAGGCCTTCAGTTGCAGTCATTATTCCAGTAGGCTAATATAGAGAGGCAGAGCTAACGTACAGAGCTAGCAGATATGATCAATAGATGGACAGGAGTCTCCTGGTGAACATTTAATCATACATGGACCAGAATGCAGTAGATTGGTGGTGTCCGTTAAAGACATTCAACCACTTTTTGAGGATACTGTCCTCTCATCTATGAAATATTGCCTGGGATTTGAAGACCAGATGTGTGTTATAAAGAATTTTATTTATGCGGAAATGATGCTGGCACATCTATCATTCCAAAATTTTCTTGTTAGATCAGATATGGAAATGTCGTTTTTGTTTTGGATGAACTTTCATTCGAAAAAGGAACAAATTTTGTTTGAAGTTTTTCAAGCAGTGAAAACTCTGTTCACAGTTGGTAGTTTTAAGTTAATAATATATTCATGTAGTATAAAAAAAGAAATCTGGTGAGATATTGAAGTTGTTAAAAAATAATATCAAAGCATTTTCAAGTGTCTTGATGATAGTTACATTATAATTTGATACTGGAATGGGAATCTGTATGATAAATACATAGTCAAATGATCCCAAGTTTTGGACAAGAAGCTTTGATTAAGAAAATGTAACTTGGTTTAGAATTTCTTTGTGCATACTTTCAGTGAAATCATCATTATATAATAATGTTGTTTCATAGTACAGTACAGCCTCGTTAATCTACTCATTTATTTGCCATCAATATGACCCTAATATAAAGTACTGGTGATTGGTTACCAACTGCAGTTGCCCATGATGTACAGTCAGACTGTTGCTTCCAGAGTCCTCTGCAGAGGCTGGTATTGATTGAAGCCTTTTCATTCAGTCATGCAGTTTCTTTTTACACCACACAGTGGCAACAACATAATCTCAGAGCAAATGTCTTACAATAGTACTTATTTCTTAAAATGTTTCAACAGAGATGACTATGTAGTAATATACACTAGTATATAGTTAAATGTAAGCTAAGATCTTTCATGAAAAACTATTTATGTCATGTACACATAATCAATACACACAAAAAATGTTGCCGAAAATGTCCTTTCACGGCAGTTGTGAAGCTATTTGCATGAGTGAAGTGGTCCATTCTTGACAAGCTGATATTGTACCTGTTCAGCATTGAATGAACTGTGACCTTTAACGATCCCTTCTTAGCAATGATTTCTTGCTTGAGGGGATCATGAAAATTGATTTACATGAAATCTAGTTAAGCATCCTTTCTTGGGGACTATGGCATCCACAATTTGAACATGTATCTGCCCTTTTTCAAAACCCAGCAAACCGGCTCAAGTTGGTGCATTCACATTTATTTCTAGGGTATACACCATTTCAAAAATCACATGTGTGACTGGCTAAGAGAAATACTCCCTACTTTCAATGCAGGTTTCAATGTGGTCCAGTGGTGTAAGCTTCTGCAATTCACAGTGCGGAGTTGTGTCCCTTAGATATGCAAGGGTTAAGTGGTTCTTGGTATAAATTCCAGATTCACCTTCATTAGTAGGCTAACTAAGATATAACTAACTGAGATAAGCTTGTGTTTAAGGTTTATGTAATAGTAATTGTTAAAGGGAACCCTTGACTGTTAAGGTGCCTCTAAGTTTTGTAGTTTCAGGTACTGAAAATTGGATTAATATAGGATGCTTGAGCTAAAATATGTGCAGGTCCCAAGCCACCTATGCTTGTCATAAAGGGCAATCAATTGGTCAGGCTCGGTAACTTGGGTGATTGTTATCAACCAGTGCAGCCTATATTGTTGCTCATGATATCTATCGCTGGTTTATCTGGTTAAAACAAAATTATTTATAGGGTGAAGTTGGTGTTTAAAAAATAAACTTTGTCCTCAACATGATTTCCTATTAAACATTATTTTTCTCTCATTCAATAACTTGAAACCAACATATCCAAATATTCAGTCACCATACTTTGGAAGTCCGTAACTCCTGGGATTTCAAGAACAATTTTATTATATTCACATCAGAAACTCAATGTTATTCCTTGTATAATAGAATGCACAGGTTCCAAGCATGATATTCTGATATAGACTTTAGCCTGTGAGTCGGCTTGAGTAAGATTGATGCCTACTAAACCATTACCACCAACTAACTTCCTGTGTTGCATAGTAAAAACAAGCATGCCTGGTCATTGCTTGATAGGAATTTGGTGTTTTTTTCCCCAGCTAAAAATAAACTCACATGATTGCATGGATAGGTGGTGCACGAAGCACTTTCCTTGTCCAAAATTGCTAACACAAGAAATAATTTCATAGGCCGTTAGACAGAATCAGGTTTTTTTCATGATTTGAAAATGCTTTGTATCAGTTAAGTGACTGCTTTTTGAATACTTCATTGTTTGAGAAAGTCGTATATTTGTATAAGTACTGTGTCCAATTTTACAGTTTTGAATTTCATGTCATTTAAATAAATTGATTCTGTGTTTTGTCAAGTTTGAAAACAAGTATTGAACATTTCAGTTAAATGATGATAAAAATATCATGTAATAAA